AGGAACAGTATCTGTTCATATTTCAACAAAATTTTCAAGATGTAGTCGAAAAATTAGAGTTTCAGCTGAAAAATCACCCAAAACATACTGCATATGTTCGCAGAGACTGGATACAAAATAAAAAATTTGCTAATCTGAAATGACCTCCACAATCCGCGGACATAAATCTCATCGAGAATTTGCGAAATCAACTAGAAGCACAGCTTATTAAGTATCCAAGTCCGTATAATCGAGTACATGAGCTGTGAAAGCAAACCAAGGATTTATGGGAGGCTATACCTTCAGAAGTTTTACAGAGATAAAAATAAGGTATGCCAAATCGCACCCAGAAACTAAAATAAGCAAAAGGGTACTAAAAATTGTGTTAGTAGTTCTTTTTTCTCGTTAAAATTGTTAAAAAGTTCTTAAAAATATATGAGTGCAAAACTGTAACATCTGCCTTAATTTACATTTTTGTCTGCTGGTTTTATTATTGTTGTTGGATTGACTTCAAATCATTATGAGAGAAGAAGTATAGGTGTACCAATAATAACATACAACAAAATTATGAAAGTCGTTAGAACTTGGAAAGATAGCGATGACTGAAGTAAAAAGTGTTACACTATGTTACAGTTTTGCCCGTCACTGTATGTATGTGTATGGTATGTATGTATGTATGTACATCTATGTACACTCAGAAAAATATCAACAGTCCTCTACTGTTAATATCAAAAATCGTTGAATTAACTGAAATCTGTTCATATAAACAGATTTATGGATTGAATTAACGATAAAACCATTTACTTTAACAAAAAAACCTATTAAAATTATCTATTAATTCAACAGACCTGTTCTGTTCACTATTACCAGAAATTACAGTTCATATAATCGGCACTCTGTTAATATGAACCATAATATTTTGTTTTTTAACCTGTTGAATGTATCTGTTAGTTCAACAGATCAGTACTGTTGATTATTGACAGAAATTGCAGTCGTTTTGCCAACTAGCACTGTTAAATAAACTGTCCCTACGCTAATTTCGTTCGTCTGTTAGTTCAACAGATCGAATCTGATAATTTTTAACAGAAATGGCAGTTGACATGCCAATTGGTCCAGTTAAATCAATAGATATTCTGTTAAATTGTCTTAAACAACAGCATTAAATCCCGTTAGGTAATGCTTTGTATACGTGCGTGTGTTTGGCAACTGAGACGCAGTCATTCGTATTTATATTTGCAAAGAATTGTGTTAATAAGTGTGTGCGGACCCGCGAGTAATTATATTCAAATTATTAATTTCGCTTCTAATTTGCAAAGAAATATATATTTTATTGACTTATAAAGTGTGTGCGGGTAAATAAATGTAAATTATTTGATAACATGAACGTCGGAAATAGTGATTTTGATATATTTATATGTGNTAAAAGTAGTTTGTTTCCAACTACTTTGTCAATTGATTAATTTCTGAGACAACGTTGTTATTTCCGACAGGGCAAGCTTCTTGAAGTTTCGTTCATTTTTTTGTTCATGCTTGTCTTTGCATTAATTGAAAAAATACTTCGCAAGTTTTGTAACGAAAAATACGGGCAAAAAGTTATAATTTTAAGTTTAGACAGACAATAAGTGTACACCTGTTAAATAACTCACATACATATACATACATTTTTAAATATACAGATGCCAGCGTGGGAATAGAAGAATTGCGATATCTTACTGAAAGCGACTTGAACAAAATTTTCCCTTCAGTGGAAGTAGTGGGCACTAAAGCGAAATTGCGTGAAAAAAATCAAATTGTGGAAAAAACAGGAGGTAAAAGAGTTATACGATTTTTAAATACTCCCAAAACTAAATGTATAATTTTTTCCCTCAATTTGTAAACTGTAGTTTGGTGAAGGTGACGATGTAACGACAGCGATCCAAAAAGTCAGTGAGTGGATTAAGCAAAACGAAAGTCTCGCATCCTGTTATTCGCCCTCAAGTGCAACACCAACTTCACACGATTCATTTGAGGTGAGTAAGTGTGTCTGCATGCATTTAGCTTTTTTATATATAACTTAATTATGTAGGTTGATATTCAAAATATATTGCAACATTATCCTCGGGGAAAAGATTCCCTTGAGTATTATGAAGATCAAAAAACGCTCACACCTTACCACCAGCAAAGTATTGCGAACTGTGTTATTGACCATTACTTGGCATCC